CCAGTTGCAGGAGTCGGATTTACAAGGCGTCACTAGCCGCAAACCAACAGCGTGAACGAGCCAGTGATCACGGGAGTTTGGAGCCTTTGATGAAGAGACCAAAGACAGCGTCACCTTGAGATGAAAAAACCCAGACTGTTGTAATTAGTTACAAATGGATGGGTTGATGTTTGCGCTCCCTGTGTGTGTAATCAAGGACGAGAAGCTGAGAGCTAAATCGACCCGAGGGACTTCCGTTGTCAGTTGAGCAAGTTGGAGACGGAGTGTGTGTTCTGTGCTCTGTGTGGATTTGCACGTCGTCGCAGAGTTACGAGTTCACCAAAATTTACAAATGATCTGGTTGAGTTTTTCGCAGAGTTACGAGTTCACCAAAATTTCAGAAATTTACAAATGATCTGGTTGAGTTTCGGAACCAAAGACGTCGGACAAAGATCTCTACTCAAAGGCTAAAGGCTAATGAATTTGTCAAAAACCAAATGTCAGCTCTCTCCCCTCCTTCTAGGGTGAGAGTGAAAAAGAAACTGCTGAATTGGCAGATTATCCAGATCTGTTATCATAGCTTAATTAGCTTAGCTTAATAAGTGAATGCTGCTTCATTTCGTTTTATAAGATGCATGTCGTCAGCAAAGAATTGACAATTATTGTTCTGAAGTACACGTCATTCCAACACGTATAACATTGAAGTTCATTCTTAAAACAACTTTCATGGCACAGCAACTATTGATATGTCTTAAGGAGGGGGGGCAATCTTAGAGAAATGCTGAGCAGGCTGGTGCTGGTGAGAAATATTCTTTTTTATGCCTTGTTCAGGAATCCTCCTCCCGTGTAATACTGAAAGAAAGCTGAAACAAAACTTTGCGTAAACACCCTGTTTAGCACCCGTTTTGACTGATGCTAATTAATATCATATCACACACGGACCCAGAGACAGCGCCAGCCTGTGGTTGGTCAGAATGCAGATACGATACGTCAAATCCCAGAAGGATTGGGCTGGGAGTTCAGGAAGGGTACTGCAAGGAGGAGGAGCCGCGACTTCGTCGAAGAGCTGTCTTCTGTCATTGGTAACTACATCGCCACCTCTTGTTTTATAGCGCACTTATCCGTATGCTCGAGGCTAAATATAAGAAAATGGGGATTATTAGTGTGACAAGCTTCAGCGCCATATGCTGCCATTTCCAAAACGTGCCTCCCCACCAGATTGTCGTAGTAGGCCGAGACCACCCTGTTAACACCTGTTCTGTTCACCTAAATTAACACTGCAAAATGGTCTGTTGTTATTATATATTTATTTATATATATTTATATATTATTATATATATATAAATACATACTGTATTTGCAATACACTACACTCTTCACATGATATGTTTGCACGGTGCAGTCTTCACTACCAGATATGAATCACTACATTCCTGCCCGTGCTGGGAATCAGACCTCGACAAATTACCTTGCCTGAAATGACCTTTGCATTATTTGTCCATTAACATTTGATCACTGGGGAGAGGAGCGACCTATTATGTGCATGACAAAAACTACACGCATTACGTCGTCAGCCTGTGAACTGTAACTACTGACGAGTAAACATGTCTGGCCTGCGGTCACTCAGCTGTGGCCGCTACAAGTTCTGCCTGAGTGCAAAACTGATTTGCCGTGGGTGACGGCAGACGCCGGCGCCCGTCACGGAGAACGTGTTTTCAGTCTGTAGCTCTTGTTTGGCATAGAGTTGGTATGTAGAGCAAATACACTGAATATTTAGGATTCACTTTTAAATGAAAAAAACAACATCTAGACATCCGTTAAGATTTAAAAGATAATTTAAGTTGTACTCACATGTGGCCGCCCACAGATTGTATCAAGATAGATTTAACAATTAAAAATTAAGAGTTTTTTTTTGTTGTACCATTAGCTGGCAAACTTCACAGCTGTTAGTATTGGACAAAAAAGACCCAAAGCCGATCAAATTTTGTTGTAGCGTCAATGTTAGTACAGTCAAGTCGTTGGCTGTTAGCAAGCAAGCCAAACACTCATCTAGATCCAAAGAACTGATACTAAAGCACTGTTTCTGAACAGTTACCTGAGCCATTAGTAACTCTTTGTCTGGACGCCAGAAGCTGCAGCGCCCCCTGTGCAGTACATCAGTTTAGCAGCGATGCGTTCAAAATTACGATGCGTACGAACTTCGAATAGGAAACCAAATATCAAATCTGTGTAAAATCACCTTCTATCATTGTTTGTGTACAGACAGACATACGAAACTACAGCTACTGAAAATGTGTTCAAAGCTAAAACACTTTAAATTCACTACTGTGTCAAGATCTTTACAGTACAGCAGTAATGAAAAGGTGAGATAACGTTTTTTTTTCAACATTCCTTTTATGTAACCTCATATAATATATAACTCCATATATCCTGCTGGCCCTAAAGGAGTCCCTTTGAAGTAAAAGGATTTTGCTGACTCTTGTGAAGGCATAAAAAATTAGTAGCATTGGAAT